TCAAGGAGGTGTGTGGGCTGGCGGCTGGAGTGTGGTTGGTGGTGTAACCCAGCTAAGCTCTTATTTAAGGTGCTGGGGGCAGGCTCGGGGCAAGGAGAAGCCTCGTGTGCGTATATGTACGTGTATGCATGTATATTTATGTATGTATACGAATATAAATAAAGTGTAGGTTGGTGCTGATGTCGCTTGGCCATGTACTGCTTTCGTCTTTCAGGTTACGTCTTTTCCAGGAGCGGCTGTTCGCAGCCTCTGCACGTCCTCTCCTCAGGAACACCCGGAGCACGGGAGGTTAGTTTATAAAGGAAATCTGGCAAAGGCAGTGTTAGGTATGTGTCTTGAAGTGGTTTGTATTGCTTGTTTTGATTTAGCAGTGTTTAATAACTTTAAAATGCAACATTATAAGAGAGAGTGTTCTCCTTTCCGACTCTGCTAAAACCTGGATCCTCTGTACAGCAGAAATAATGTGGTGGTGGTGCTTGGTTTCCGCTTCTGCGCTTTGGTCTGCGGGGAGTTCTGTAGGTGCTGTGCATCTCCGTAACCCCTCAGCCCCCTTCCATTTCTCTTGCAGCCTTTGGAGTGCATTACCCAACCCAGTAGCAGAGACCAGCTGTAGCTGCAGTTTACATTCTGTGTGCTTTCAAATGTTACTGACATGTTTCTGAGGTAGACAGATACTATGATAAAAGGCATAACCTGTAATGCAACTTTGTTGATCTGTCTTTGACCAGCTAATGTTGCAAAGACCTAGTGAAAAGTAATCCATTGGATGTTTTCTGATATGCTTTTTTGAAATGTATCTTAAAGAGGGAGGACGTGTGCTTTAACATACTTAATTACCACAGCATTGTAGACTACTGGTTCTCGTGGTGGCCTGAGAGCTGTGGGTGGTCTGCAGTGCTGTCTGCTGCCTTTCAAGCTGCACACAAGATGGCTGTGGAGTACTTGTTAATATTGAATAACCTAGGTTTTTCAAGTTACACATAGTGGGGGACCAAGCAAGCTTCTTTGTAATGCACACTGAACGTCAACATTAGTTGTTGATGAAGAGAGAAATTCCCAGTCATATCTGTGATGATTACCACTACGTGTGTCCGTGGCGGCAGTCAAGTTTCTTTTGACATCAGTTTCCCATCTGTGAAGTGAAAACTTCATAGGCGTGCGTAATAGCTAGTAGCTGACTTTGTCATAGAAATAGAGCCAGCTACCAGCTTTGATAAACCCGGCATGAACATATAAACCACCCAGAACAGTGGCAAGAAAACAGGGTTGAACTTCCAGTGGTGTCTTTTTGAGTTCTAAAAAAAAAAAAAAAAAGACACGTGCATTTTCAGTAACTGCAGCTGTTGAAGTAATGCCATGAATATATAGTAGCAGAACATGTGTAATTACAGAGATGATTTTACTCCTAAGTATTAACCTTTGTTTATGTTCTGTTTTCTGTAGGTGTGAGGTTTTTCTCTTACTCCACCAGCATATTCAACCTGTTCATGGTGCCCTATGTCATGCTCAAAACTGGTATTGGGTTTGAAAGCCTGTTTATACAAGCTGCCTTTTATGGGTTGATCGGTTTCTTTACATTTGTGACACCAGTTACTTTGCATGTCCTGACAAAAGGCTATGTGATCCGACTCTATTATAAAGATGAAATGGACACGTATACAGCCATTACATACAATGCGATCTTGGCAGAAAAAGCAACTGTTTTCCATCAGAAAGATGTGAAGATTCCAGACATCACCAAGATGTTTACAACATTTTATGCTAGAACAAAATCAATGCTTGTTAATCCGACACTTTTCCCGAATATTCAGGATTATAACCATCTCATGGGCTATGACAAATCCTTGTATTTTAACTTCGAGGAGGAGAAGGAAGCTGATGAAAGGAAATAATTTGAAGATAATGAATGTTACTATCATTGTTCATGATGCAGTGCTGTATATGTGAGAGAATGTAAAATTCTATTACACTTTCTGAAGTATCAGGTAGCTAGAGTTCCCCAAATGCCTTTTGGAATGTATAAAAAAACCCTTATTTTTTTAAACTTGTAAACAATGTGAGGGTTTCTGCAAGAGTTAATGACACAAAACATAGTAAAAAAGGTATGCTAAGATCTGTCTCGTGCTGGCTTGTTCTTGGCTTGGTTTTAATTGTTACCTGTCCAGGAGAACTGTAAAATGGATGGGCTGTGTGGCAATCTCACCATCTCCATTTCAAAAGGAACCATTCCTATAAAATATAATCAGTACTCATTACCTGTCAAGTACACAGTTAAGCTTTTAAGCCTTAAAGATTTGTTGTACTTAATCCAAAAAACATCAGGCTTTTATGTCAATGCTGCTGGTGGTACCAGTAGCCGGGGGGAGTCTTCAGAAAGCTGATGGCTGTCGCTGCTAGTTCTTGCTACAGCTTCCTGGAGGCTCGCAGGCCTCTGGAGAAGATGGGGAGAATGGCTGCGTCGCAACAATTTCTGACTGCTCGCAGCTACTGAATGGTTTCTTAAGCTGGAGTCTTGCTCCGAGCAGCCCGGTGCCCAGAGGAGGAGAACAAGAAGCCTCTCGTGTGCTTGGCAGGGGGAGGCACCTTAGCATGAGATTTGCTCTGTGAATATCCCGCTGGAAACGTGGTATTTGAACCAACTTAAAGAAAATATTAGCAGCTAGTGGTTGGAATGTACTCTGTCAGCGTTTACGTGAGGTGGGGGAGCAAAAGGGAATCTCCTGTAGAGCGGTGTTTGGATCCTGTGCCTTGAAAAAACATACCTCTTGGTTTTTAGCACTGCAAAGAAAGCTGCCTTTAGCTCAAGTGAAAAGAGGATTTGATCTTTTCCTGTGACTGGACTGGTTAGTTCTGCACTCTGAGTATGTGGAAATGGGATTTAAATGTTTTTAGCCCAGAAGAGGTTTGTCGTGTAAACTAACAGTTATTTTCAAATAATGAAGGGTCTAAATATTTTGAGTGCTAAAGATTACTGAATTAAAAAAAAGCAAAATTCAAATTATTTGCTTTGCATTAGCAGTGCCCCTTGTAATAAGTAAATCTGATGCTTGCTACTAATGAAGTTATCACAATACTGCAAATAAAGAAAAAATAATTACAGCTACTTTTACAGATGTTTCCTAAATTCTAGCTGAAAAAATGTATTTAAAAGTCTAAGTGTTTTCCAAGACTATTACTTCAGTTTTCTGACATAGGATGACGCTGTACATCATATTAAAACATCAATGTTTTTGAATGTTGTTTTTCTGACTCTTGAAACTGCTCTTAATGTACTTACTGAGTAACTAAAAAGCGAATCATCGCATTCAGCTATTTTTGAGGCAATTCTTTTGTGTTGGCACAGCTATAATTTTAAAAGCCTGATCTAACCCCATCATAGGTAACAATAAAAAAGAACAATTCATAAATTATATTGAAAACAGGAGGCCAGTAACAAGCAATTCTGATCACCTGGTTGTACTATTTGTCCTTATTGAAATGTTGTTTTACACCTAATTAAAAATATTCTTTCCATTCTTTCCATGTCTGATGCGTTGACTCTCTTCTTTTTGTACTTGCGGATAAAGTTAACTTCATCTTTAAATGCCAAATACAGGGAGAACAAGAAATAAGAGTTTGCAAGAGAAGATGAGGGCCCCAAAATTATATTTATGTACCATTTGAGCAATATCAAAATCCTCAGCCTTTTCTCCTGCCTGCAGAAAATTTCCCCTGTTAAATTGGAGATTTGGCCAAGTCGGATTTAAGCAGCAATAGTAAAAGATTTCCATCCCAGTGGCGAAGTTTCTCAAAAAAAGTATGGAAGTTAAACATTATTTCTACCTGTTTGTCTTCTGGCAGTGAAATGCAAGTTAAGGTAGTAGGTGGTTTTCCAAAACATAGGTGATTTTAAAGAAATAATTTTAAAGTCCAGATTTCTACCAGAATATAGATGATGATTCTGTCTGTGCTGTAGTCTCAGAAAAGCATTTTATACTTCCAATGTGCCACTTGAAAATAATGATAATTCCATAGCTTTCTTCTAACAGTACTTTCATATTAAAGAAAGGGAAGATCAAAGTTAATAGAGATGCACAATATTCTACCTGCTCCTACCTTCTTTGCTGCTAACTTGGCAAACTCAGTTCAGGAAACAACCAAGTTTTAAATCTTAAAATCATAATACTTGTTACGCTTGGCAAATAAGTATGGCTTTGGCCTCATCCCTGTCAATGTTTCCAGCTCTCTCTGTCCTTGTATATAAATCCAGGACTCTCAGATTTAGATTTTTTTCAATTTTTACTTACAATGTGTACTTAGAATCATAGAATCATTTCGGTTGGAGAAGACCTTTATCGAGTCCAACCGTAAACCTAACATTGCCAAGTCCACTGCTAAACCATGTCCCTGAGCACCACATCTACACATTTTTTTAACACCTCCAGGGATGGAGACTCCACCACTTACCTGGGCAGCCTGTTCCAATGCTTGACAACACTTTCAGTGAAGACATTTTTCCAAATATCCAATCTGAACCTCCCCTGATGCAACTTGAGGCCATTGCCTCTCATCCTCTCACTAGTTACTTGGGAGAAGAGACCAAAACCCACCTCGCTACAACCTCCTTTCTGGTAGTTGTAGAGAGCTATGATGTGCCCCCTCAGCCTCCTCAGCCCCAGTTCCCTCAGCTGCTCCTCATAGGACTTGTTCTCTAGACCCCTGACCAGCCTCATTGCCCTTCTCTGAACATGCTCCAGCACCTCAACGTCCTTCTTGTAGTGAGGGGCCCAAAACTGAACATAGTATTCAAATATACTTGCACGTATGTGACTGGCTTAGATCCCTGGAACTAGTTGAGAGCAGCAGAGACTAGTATTCAAGCAACTGTTGTTTGTTCTTCACCTTGGAAACAAAATAAAGGAATGGAAGTGTAATCCAAAAAGACTTCTAGATGCATTTCTATTTTGTTTTGGGTTCTGAGCAGTCTGTCTTCATACAGATATTTCATATTTCATTCCCAATGGGAAACTCTGAAATGCTTGGTGTCCTTCTAAGCTAGGAGATGTGTATGAACCAAAACAGGCCCTCTCACTACAAACAAATCCTGCAAGAGAACTGACTGTAGTGGGAGTGTTTCTGTAGGCTGAGAAATGTTATCAAGTCATTCCCAATGCCTGATTATGTTTTGATTCTTAAATATCAGCTCCGCATCCTTCACAATCCTATTAATTTTGTGGGCTGCTACTTTCTGCTCATTTATTTTTTCTTGAGTTTTATACCCTTGGTGAAAAACGGTTCTAATTGCGTCGTGTTATTACTTGCTAATGTTTTTGTCCCTGGTAATTGCTGATGTTTCTTTGGATGTAAGTAACTTGCGTATGACATGGAAGAAGCAATTATAAGACCTGGAGAAGGTGTTCATACACAAGGGTGGAGTTTCTGAAGGAAACACTGATGTAGAAGGCCAGTCTTCTAAAACACATGATCTACAAGCTGTCTTATCTGCAAGGCTAGACCTACTATGAAGGCTGCCAGCTCCTGCAACCTTTCCAGTACCAACCAATCACTTGTCACTCTCAGCTGAGTTTTGCATCTTACTCTGGTACCAGTTTCACTCAATCTGGTATGAAGAGTATCAACATATGATACGACTCCAGTCTCTTTCCTAGACACTTGCTTCCTATATCTTGTCAGCCTTAAGAGCTTCCACAGAAGGTCACAGATTACTTCTCTTTTTCCTAAGAAAACAGACAGGATACGTGCAGATTTTTCCTTCTGGTTGTTGACTACATGTTGTTCTCTTGCCAGTGTCCTTCTCCCTTTTTCTCAAGTTTTTGGCTTTGTCCACAGTATTTTTCATTAGTCCCTATCTGTTCTTAATTATGAAATACAATGATTTTTGTCATTCTTTAATTCTATTTTTAAAATCAAATTATCCCACAACCCTCAACCTTTTCTTGCAAATGTAAAAAATTCTGATGAGAAAATTATCCTCCTTTGATACTTTAAAGAGAGATCTTTGAAGCTCTGAGGTACTTCACACTCCTAACCACACTCTCTGGAATCAGAAGGTAACTAGTTTCGCTGGAGCTTGCTTTATTACAAACCAAAGTAATCACACTGGCAAAGATGAAGAAAAGCTGTGTAGATTTTTGCACAGTACTGCGAGAGCCTCATTTAGGTGATGGAAACTTCATGAAATTCTGTTTGTGCTGTAAAAATTAAGAGCACACATGTGAATTATTACAATTGCTCAGTCTAGCTTAATAGGTGGAAACTTGGTAAGCTGCTGCAATTCAGTTGCCCTGGAGTTCTGTGGTCATACCACAAATTTTTTCGTGCCCCGTGCACAACACAGCCTGCTGCAGCCCCCCTGAGAAATGGGACAAGTGTGCTAGCTGGAAGTTGGAGCCACTATAATAAGATTATCCCACAGCTATACAGATTTCAGCGAGCACTATTTTAAGCAGGGGAGAACAGAGAACAAGAGCAAACAGCAGCTAAGCCTGTCCCGCTGTCTCCATGTCTGGAATACCAGGGTGGACAGTGTGGCTGTGGTGTGCTTTCTGTCAGCCTCAGGTAGGACGTAGGTCTCTCTTCTCCCTTCACCCCCAGCTTTCTCCTTGACAACTTTAATGGTTTAATATATACTTTCGAGTATAACTATAAGCTTCAATCCTAAACTTGGCTTGGAAAGAATAAACCATAAGCCTACTGGCAGCAGACAGAGAGTAATTTCCAACATGATTGTTTCCACAGGATACCACCTGGTGTGTATTTACTTCATTTTAATAGCCTCCAATGGTTTAATGTGTTATATTCAAATCAAACCACTATGCCAAAGTGCATACAACACTGAAAAAAAAATACATTCAGAATAAAGCACATCACTTTTTTTTCTTTCCACAGCTATTTGCTTTCTTACTCAAATGCTACCAACGCACCACTGGCTACGTGCTGGTGTGCTGCACTTGGGTCAGACTCCCCCGGCACCCTCAAGTACTTCATTAGCCGCATATAGAGGAGCTGAATCCTCTACAACTTTCTAGTATCCTGGGGCTTGACTTTCTACTTCCACTATAAACATTGCCAAAGATAGGATAAGAGGATTTGAGAAGGGAGATTTACTCATGAATTGCTAGAGTTTTCTATTTTTGATGTTGATTGCCAAGTGTGTTTTGTTTTGCAAATACATGCCTTACATATAGCCCCTTTATATTGGAGAGTCTTCAGCAGAACCCTAAACCCAGGATAAGATGTAATAAACAGCTTCCAGCTGCAAAAAGACCTAGTTCAAAAACTGTTACAAATGGTCCTGCAAGGAAAAATTAAATTATTATTGCCTCTTTCTTTATTAAATAAATGGGTTTAACATCTTAAAAGAGTTTTCCATTAACGTGAGGTTTTGGTACATGCCAAGAACTAGGACGTAATTTTTCATTCTCTCTGACTTGCACTTTGAAAAGGAGGACTTTCCTCTGCTGTACTAGTATACTGTTACTTATTTTTCTGTGATGGGATATTATGATAATGTAAATTATAAATCTTTCCCGAGGGAGATCTCAGTGACTTAGAAGTGCTTATCTGGTCAAAGTACTCAACTGCAGCCAACAATCCAAATACAAAGTGATTATTTTGAAAAACAAGTAAGTTAATCACTTTTTAGATGTATTGAGAAAGAAAATACAAATATCATAAGTTAGTTTAAGGATTTTAACCACAAATTGGTGAGGCTTGGAGTTAAACTTCTACCCTTAGCATGACAGATGCGGAAAAAATAAGAAGTCATAGGTATGAAGTGTGGTGAAACACTGGAACAGGTTGCCCAGAGAGGTAGTGGAGGCCCCATTCCTGGAAACATTCAAGGCCAAGTTGGACAGGGCTCTGAGCAACCTGGTCTAGTTGAAGATGTCCCTGCTCATTGCAGGGGGGTTGGACCTAGATGACCTTTAAAGATCCCTTCCAACCCAAAGCATTCTCTGATTCTATGATTCTCTGATTCTAAGTCCTAAATTATCTAGGCTTGTATTTAGTGTACTGTTAACTGGGTATGAGGGTTGGTCCCTACTAAGTGTAGTTTCAAAGGATTTTAAGAATAAATGAAGTAAATTGTCACAAATCTCTAGTGGAGTAACACTGTTGTGTAGCTCTTTCCACTTCTCTTTCTCTCTTTTTTACCTTCCTTCTGGATCAGAGTATGTAAGAAAAAGATTACAATAAAAAAGAGTATTTAGTAAAACTAAAATATATAGAAGTTTATGTCCTTCCCTTCCAGTGCCCTTCATACTGACTAGAAAGGGACAAAGCAGACTCCTCACACCCACAGAGCACTGGTTTGGGGCTTCAGTGAGCATCACAAGAGGTCACTTCTATGAATGGCATCAATACAGGCATCAAAAGCCGCAATCTAAAACTGAGTTTGCTGAAAAGATTTTAAAATGATTGAGGTTACTTTGATTTAAGGCCAATTTGATGAGACACAATGGTCAAGGTTGTAGACTTTGTAATGGTGGTTGTAAGTGATATTTTAGCCCTGACACCGGTAGCACTTGTTGTTCCTATTTTCCCGTTAACCAGCCAGATCCTTTTAAAATGGAGTCTAGTTACACTGATTTTTTAAAGCATTGGAATAGTCTTGACCTGTACAATAAAAGTGCAAGAAGAAACAGGAGAGGACAGAGGTTTCCCCATGAGTCTGTCTAAGCCACCAGGGGGGACTCATTCCTCATCTATATATTTACTGCAGCAAGTATCTGAAAAAAACACCTATTTCTTGAACCAGGTCTAGAAAGTCAAGGAGTTCAGCAGAGAGCCTGTCTTCACTTATGTTAAAAGAGCTTTCATATAAATTTGCAGGACTCTTTCCAGTCTGCCCACGAGTACATCAGCCAGCCAACGCACTGTGCAGCGCAGCGAGCACCAGTCTGGCTGCAGAGGGACAGGCACCCTTTCAGCCCGGTCATCGTATGTGTCAATAGGGTACAGTCAGTGCAGTCTCACGCCTGCTTCAAACTGACCTGTGGCTTTTGCTAAATCTGTTGGACTGACAGAAGGCTCGGCGGGGAAGCTGGCTTGGCTTCTTGGTGGACAGACTGACTCCACACCAGTAGCCATGGCGTTGTGGTTGAAAGGAACCTTTTTTTGACTGTGCATGCACAAGGTAGCTCTTCTTTAGTGGCTGTTTCATCACTCCTGAGTGGCTGTCTCATTACTCCATTTCTTTTTTTCCAACTATTACAGCCTTCCTCATTTATTTCAATTTCACTACATATTTTACCATTTTTAAGTTAAATTTGGCCATTTTGTAACCAAACAGTATTATTGCTATGGTCACAAAGGGTTTATATATTTTATAGCATCCTGTTAAACAACAGCAAAAATCTGTGTGTGATGTATGTACTCTGGAGATCTGTCAGGAAAGCTGTATAATTTGGAATTCGCACTTAAAAGCCAAATATTAGATGTTTCTTTCAGTATTGAACTCTGTCAGGCCAGTCTTGTGGTTTGCAGAAAGATTGGAAATACTAAAGAGAATTCTCTAGCCATATTTAATTTTCAAATATTTATCTTCTTTCATTAATTACCACATGTATTAACTCATTAGTTAGTACATTTCAGTACCTCTAATTTTATTCTTACCTTCCTTAACTAGTATGTGAACATTCCCCATCTCCCCCATCTTCTGGGTGCAATCATTCATGGTTTTGAGCAATATCGCTATTCCTAAATTATCTTTTGTGCTACACATTTGGGCTTCTGAACACCAATTTCTTAATCTTTTGCTACTTTACCTTTGTAACAAGTACAATATTACCCCGCTGTGCACAGATTTTGTGAGAATAAAAGCTTTAGACACTGTGATGGGAAGTGGGGAGTCAGAACAATTGATTAAGTTATATTTGTTGTAAGTAATTTTTATGGAGTCTCCTGCTTAGCACAAAGCCAAATACCTGTCTATTGCATATACTGCTTCTTTTTCGTAACAAACAGTCTCTGATCGAAGAGAAGCCTGTAGACATGCATACAATTCAAGTAGGTAACTCATGAGCAAATAATCTGATTAAGTTCCGTAAGTCATGTTTTATTGTATTTAGAAAAAAAAAGTAGTTGTATTTCCTGTCAGTTAGATGGTGACTGTGCTCCCTTAAATGAGTTGTTACAGGGTTTTTTGATCTGTTTCTGTAGTTGAGACTAGCAATATTGCTGGGTTTGGGCAGTAAAAGCTGACCCAGTTTAGTCCACAAAATTGATATAATAGATACAGGCAAAATATGTTATTATTTGTGTATTGCACTAACAGACAGAAAGAAGGGGCTCTATCTAATGCCAGAAGTGCTTTAAGAATTTTTATTTTAGTGTTTCAAACTGAGTATCAAAACCTGCAACCTAGACTGTTTTCAATGTCTCGGGTTAAAATCAGTCTCCTAATCAATCTTCAGCTGTGACAGGGAGATTCTGTGTTCTTACAGAAACTTCTTGACAGCTTTTGTTAATTGTCCCGGGTTCGGTGTCCGCCTTGACCCATGCCTGCACACTGCCCTGGCACAACAGTTGGGCTCCTTGCTCTTGGGCAAACTCTGCCACACAGCTTCTCCAGCACAGACTGTGGGGAGAAGTGTGGGAAAAGGGCTTAGAGGGGTGCTGGACTCATGAGTTGTGATTTTATGGGTTTTTAAGATTGTTTTCCATGAGAAGTATAACTGTGATAAGTAAAGCTTTGAAGATGGTAGCTGACATCGTGCAGGATATTGTGGTTCTGCTCAATAACATGTCAGATGGTTGCATTCAGCTCCCGTCCTTACCACCAGTTGGAAATACATCATCTAATTACACTCCTCCAGAGCACCAGCATGTTCTTTAAGCACAGTGGGCTTTGTAAGAAATTCATTCTGAAGGCTTGTGAGAGTTATTGACTACCGAATCAATAGACTAGTGGTCTTATTGACTACCATATCAATAAATGAGTGGACTTGCTCTTCATCGTTTGTGGACTTTTCTCTTCTTTATTGGGTACAGGAAACTCTGTGAGTGTTTGAAATTATGCCTTAACAAATGTTACGTCCGGTGAGTCAACTAAACTTGCTGTTTACGTACTTCTGGTAATCATAATTTTACTTCTCCTCACTTCCCTATTTTATGCAGTTTTCTCTTTCATTTTTCACGTGGCTTGAGCTCCATTGTCTGGGGAAAGTATAACAACAAGGGCAGAAATTCTTTTCCTTCACAAAATTTATTGAGATGATAACTGATAGTGCTGCAGTAGAATTCATTAAGATTGGTGAGACTTTGACAAAATAACCAAATATTCCCTGAAGACATGTGACTGAGGATTACTGTGCTGAATTTTTGTTCCTCTTTCCCCAAAACTAAGTTTTATGCCACCAAATACTGAGCCAAAAAAGTAACTATGTTTGAACTTATTTTTTTCATTTTATTCACCCCTGGAGTCAGTGTATTTCTTTGTACGTCGTCAGAACTCGAAATATCATATACTTTCTGTGGTAAGTAGAAAATAGCTTGTTCTTTTCTTACTGGTGTTTGCACAATAATTACTGTAGTCTGAGGAAGTGTGAACTTTCTTCCAATTTGTTTTTTTGGTCAATACAGAAAAATAAAAAGAAGTTCATCTGGAGTATATTTCTGTCATTAATTATCCTATTATAAGAATTTTACTGCATAGGCGTAAATATTACAACAATGCTGGTTACAGCAGCTAAGAGAGGAGTTTACTCCCAAATAAAGCCGGCATGTTTTGATTCAGGAAAAGCTAGAAGGTAAGGGATTTAAACTTGTTTTGCAAGTACTGTATTGTATAAATTATCCACATAGATTTAACCAACGTGTTACAATGAAAAGCTTCAACTATACGGAAAAAGAAGGAGGAATGTGGTATTCAGTCAGGCTTTGGGACAACATAGTGTGTCCCTTCTTGCCGTGTTTGTGTTGTGGGCTGCTGGATCTGTGTAGTTCACTGAGTTTCCTGATCGGTTCTGCAACAACATGGCACCTTGGTGATGTCCATGTTGAACAGGCTCAGTGTGCCCATGCAGGCTCAGGGGCCAGAAGCTGGGCTTTTGAGGACATGATACTTCACAAGGAAAGGCCTACGACTTTTTAAAATCTGTGTGCATGACTATTGCATATCGCCTGTAAAATAGCTATAGAAACTAAGGCACAGGAGGAAATGCTTATTTTGGGTACTTTGCTTTACTTCAGTATTCACGTTAAAAATTTGACAAGGGTAAAAATGGCTGTACGTAGGCTTGCAAACCAAAACTTTGAGACCACAATGAGTTCAGTTTGCCCTTTTCCCTGTCATCATTTCCTGTGCGTGCTTGTATCGGAGATGAGAAGCTGACTTGCTGGTTACCAACAGCCAGTTTCCCTTTGCATGCCCCTTGCTTTAACCCCCGAAATGCAAGAAAGAACCTGTCTCTCTAAATCACCCTGCCATCCCCCTCCCCACCCTGCCTCCAGGCCCACAGCAAGCTGAATGACTTTTTTTTTGAGTAATTTGTCACTGAATTATTTTTTATAATTTAAATTATCAGCCAAAGGGCTCTAAATTTGATTAGGGACGGGTTGTATGATGCTTTATCACACTGCATCTGACACTGTGCATTGTACAATGCTAGGTGGGACACTCACAAAGCAAATCTACTCAAAGGTTCGTTTACACTATCCTGGAAAATATGCTGTTACATGAAAAACATTTTTAGGTGTTGTCAGCAGATAGATAGATTCCATGGTTAGCGGAAGTAGGGATATTTTCCAGAAGAGGATCATGCTGGCCTAATGCTAACAAAAAGTTTGTGCAACTTCAAAAGAGAAATAAAGGTACTTTTGCCTCTGGGTTTTGTGTGCAAAAGATCGTCAACAAAATAATTGAGTTTTCTTGCTGCTTGAAGAAATATGGTATTGGTTTTGCCCTCTAAGAATTTAAATAAGTGTATAATAATATAATTTAATATTTACTATGGATATTTCTATTAGACAATTTTATAACATATGCCTTATATTAAGCATGTTTGAAAACATGTATGTGTTTATTGTGAGTGTGTATATATGTATATTTTTATTGTTTTCCTGGAGAAGCCTATTCACATTACCAATATGAAATACTTCTTTTCCTGTAGATTCTACAGATCATGCTTTCATGTTTAATCTGACACCTTGCTACATCATGAACAGATCCGTCTGGACAACTTATCTCACCTGGATTCCAAGTGAGTCTCTCTTGACCAGACAATATATTCTGACAATGCAAAAAAAGCGAACACAAGCAAAAAGCTGACACTTCATCCTAAATCCCAAATGGAGATCAGTTTCTGTGATTAAGAATGGAATAGATACATTTTTGTGATGGACAGAAATGATGATTTGTGGAAATAAGCGTGTTTGAGTTTTATTTGCCGGAGCAGTTACCGGAGCTCTGCGTGCTGACTGCACTGTCCATGCAAACCTGAGGCTGTTGGGTGCACGTCCATTTGTCTGGAAGAAGCAGACAAGATTTGCAGCAGACAAGATTTGCAGCACACAAGCTCTTCTGGCCTGAAGAAGACCCAAGTCTTTTTATGGAGAGAGAATACCATTAGGCTGCCTGAGTATGGCAGGACTTCTGCCAAGAGTATGCATGCTCCAGAAGCTGGAAATGTGGGTTAGCTGTGGAGCTGAGTGAACTCTGTTATCTTTGCTGAAGAAATTAAAACAGATTTTGAAACTGTTGACTCAAATATTTTATAAGACTGATGTTTTTGATTCAAAATCAGCTTTTTGTTTTTCTGGAAGTGACAGTTTTCAATATATGTATTTTTGTTATTTTTGGGGGGAGTCTTTAAAAAATATTGTATTTTGGAGAAAACTACTTTTTATCTAAATAGCGTGGCTGCATAGACGATTTTCCTCCCCACCAGCTATCATTTTCTTACCTGCAATGTCTTAACCAGGAAGTGACATCACCTTTTTGAAGATCGTCTTCAACGTCTGGTTTGATGGTGCCAAAGCGCTACACTGGAAAGAAGTCCTCTGCAGTGGACTCGACGATGAATACTCGGTGTGCGGAAAGCTGAAAGGAGGTCAGTGTGGAAAACATACATTGCCTTTCCATTGTCTGGCAGGTTCCCTCCACCACAGTGCCATATCCTGCCAGCCCTTTCTCACCACTAAGCAGATTGCTGAAAATACTAATTGATCAGCTCATGCAGACAGATTTTTCTCTCCACAATCTGACTGATCCACCTGCAGGCAGCAGACTTCAGAACAGGCAGTTCTCCAGTGCCAGAACCCCACTAAAATAGGGAGTTTCCAAATTCTACACTTTAACATCCTTGTACTGCAGTTTCTGTCTCCATAAATTTGAATTACTAATATCCTTCATCTCATTATGACACTTTTATTGTCATCATCTCTAACATGACATGGAAAGACTGCATTTGACTGCACTGCACACAGAACTTGAGAGGAGCTAGGAACACTGCTAATATCCAGAACACAGTTTATTTACATAAGTGTCTGGATGGGTTTTTAAAGAGATTCTCTACACCCATGTATAATGTTTTTTTTATTAGAGTCAATCCTGTTGTAGGGGCTAACCAGCATCAACATGAGACAGACTCAGATCCAGAGAATTCAGGCAGGATGTCAGACTAAAAGCCAAAAAGACCAGGAGGGACATCAAAATACACAGTCCATGCTGTCCTTGCTTTAAAAAAGAATATCAGCTCTTTTCAGTTATCATTCATCTAAACTCCTATTACAAGTTAAATTATTGGAGTTATCACAGTAGGATGGGTCTGTAAGAGATGTTGCAGGAACATTGTGGTTAATTCCTATTTTCTAACATGTGGTTTAGACAAATAGAGCTCTGGGAGAAGAAACAGGTGGGGACTTTATCATTGGAAGAGCGAATGGCATTGGCGGTGCTGCTGAGAGATATGTCATGTTGCTTTGAAGTTGTTTAGGAAGTTTGATGGCTTTATGATTAAGTAACCATTTATATTATAACTATCTCTGTTTTACAGAAACAATTGCAGCAGCATTTGACATTAAAGGTGCAAGAATAAAGTTCCCAAAGGTACTTTTCAGAATTTTATACAAAGAAATAACAATAGTAAAATAACATACTTACATGTACTTATTTTCTGGAATGAGTTGTTCACTGAAACTGTAGAAAACAGCAAAAGGAAATATCTGAAAACTTTCTCATGCTAGAAGTGATGACTCTGGAATGGTAGCACCTCTGAAATGCTAGATGCCCTCAGGTTATTGTTGCTCTGTTATTCCTCCTTTATTTTATAAAAGAAAAGATCGGAAGTATTAGTTAATGTCACCTTAGTAATTCCATCTTGTTTGATAAATTATTGTGTTTCCTTTTACCTGCTTGAGTAAATCCATCCATATTCTTCCTGCCCATTTCGTTCTTTATGTTCTCTGCGTGTGCTGATCTGTTCCTCCCTGAAACCCTTTGCAAAGATTTGAAGAGGGATAACAATATCTAAAGTAAAAGCAATGCAGTGCTAGGCTCAAGTTAGCCCACTCTCATCCAACACCTGCCTCATCAGCCACCTGAGGCTTCCCACGACCCTAACATTACCCTTACCATCCATATCAGTCCCCACAAATGTCACTAAGGAGACCCTACTGGCACAAAATCTCCAGCCTCCTCTTAACTCAAAGCTCCTGGGCCTCTAACAGTGTTGAATTCCAGCCCAGCATCTTTTCCAGCCCCAGAGCTGATAGTAGGCAGGAATGTCCTCTGCCATAAGCAGTCCTCCTATAGATGAGCTGCTTATGGCAGACCTGATACTTCCTAATGGGACTCTGCCAGACCAGGAACTAGCCCTAATAATAGCCTTTAAAGTGAACTGGAAACTCTTGCAAGCCTCCCAGTCTTTAGATTAGTCCTAAGAGCCCTTCAGCTCCCAAGTGCTCATCCCCAGTTTGCCATACCAGAAGAGGAAGGTGACAGGCCTCAAACAAGGTAGGGCAAGACCTGGGTTCAGTAAGGGCCACCAAGCTATCATTTGTCCTGGTGCCTACAAAAGTCTGTCTGTGCGAGGATTGGAAGATGGGTAGCTAGGCAACAGCTAAACCTGGGCTGATGCTGCTTTATGGGTCAGACTGATGGATGTGGATGAGCAGAGCGGTGGGTCTGGAAGGAATGCTGAGCTGATGCCACAAGTAGTGTCGCTTACAGTAGTGTGCACTGCAAGAAAGTGTGGCTGACAGAGCTGGGCTCATGGCTAAGGTTCAGGCAAGCAGTATCTCGCTAGTCAGGGAGCAGCTGCTCCATGCAGGGAAGTGAGCAGGGCCCTGACAGTGTGATTTACGTAGGCAGCTTGAGACCTCACACTAGAAGTGCTGGTTATACTTTGATCATGGGCTGAAGAGTGTCTACGGCACTCTTCTCACATGGGTCCTTCCTCCTACTCTCCGCTCTCTAACATACTTTGTCCTAACCTTGACATCATGTCCAAACTCAGGAGGATTTTTTTGCCACGAATAATAGTATGAGGTTGCTTTAGCTTTCACAAAACAGACATTTTATATATTCACATCATACATTCAGTATAAGTTGATGATTTTGCTAAACACTACTGACGCTGAACAGCAGCTAAATCCCCAGTACGTGTTTATAGCCGAAAACAAAAAGGTGCACTGTCCAGTACAACAAACTCTGTTACAACGCTGGTCAGAAGCTGTGTGGTGTGTAGCCTGGAGGATTTACCTGGGACTGTCTGTAAAATACAGAGGCTGTTATTGCAACTACCTGTGGTCTACATATGGGTATTGGGGCAAGAAGGTGGCAGAAATTCAGCAGAAAATAGAAATCTTGATAGGACTAAATCCTTGCTGGCTGCAAGCTATAAGGGCTAGTAAGGTTACTGCCTCACAGCGGGGACAAAAAGCCTGCTGCTGCAGAACGCAGCCTGGTCTGTCAACTCAGTTACTTCCCGTTTGTGGAGTCAGAAACGTTACTCAAGAGAACGGCTCTGGATGGGGGAGCAGGTGCCCTCAGGAGCACAGAACTCTGGTTTGAGAGAAGACCCTGACAAGTGCAAGCTGGACCACAGCCTAATGCTGTTCCTGAGTACCCCGGTCATGAGAAGAAAATTGAACATTATTTTTTTATGTACACTTATGTCTGAATACAGCCATGAGAACAGTCCCCGGTGGGAATCTTTCTTTTTCAGTCCTAACAGAAATCACCAGAACCATTCTAAGCAGCTACTTAGACAAGAGCAGACAGCATTATGCACTAACTTTTTTTTTTTTTTTCTTGCTTGTTTTAGGGCAATTACTCAATTATTTTACAAGGATTCTCTGATGATTCTGAAAATACTATGATCGTTTGCTTGAATGTCACCATGATAGTAAAACAAGACCCTTTCTAAATGCAACAAATGTTTCAAATAATTCCAGAACACGGAGGTCACTTCTGCAAGCAACTAGAAACTGAGCTGCGAAATAATAAGCACACTAATTTTCCTGAGGTAGAATACATCATGTACTGTCTGGAAAGCTAGATGATGGATAGTCCTATCCATTTATAGCACTGCTGTAATCAGATGCTCAGCCAATGTGCACAAAATCTCCGGGAATTAGGCATCCTGATTAATTCACAGAATAGCACTGACTGGATGTCAGGCTGAAGACTGCATTTTGGTACTGTTCCTTGAGTTACAAAAAACCCGAGTCCTCAGACTGTGCTAAACTAATACAAGAAGTTTTGAGGTTTTGAAGTACAAGAATCAGAAGCTTGCCAGTACTCAATTTAAAATAAAACAGCAATTGAATGTGGGAACCCAGTTGTGTTCTTTTTTTTCTTTTAACAATAAAACTTGTTTGTACAATCAATTTGAGAAATATTTTTTATTCTCCTTTTATTTTCTGGTTCTCTTTAGATATTTCCTAATGTTCTGCTCTGTTTGCACTGAGCTGAACCAGAGGAGTGACGATTTGTCATGTGGTACTAGCTGATATGCATAACATCCAAAGCAGAACATGTTTCCAGTTACACTGATATGGTATGGCTGAATTTAGATATCCAGAGCTGTAACTGCAACCCCAAGCGTGCTTTTAGCTCTTGCTCAGAGTCCGAGGGGCAGAGGCCGTACAAGCTGTCTCCTTCAGAAGCCAGATAGTCATTGCCCAGGAGGTTGGTCTATTCCGCAGTTAGCAGCAGCGTATCTAAAGCTTTTGCTGTGGCTTCTGCCTCTTGCGCAGCCCAACATTCCGCCCCCACCTTCCCTCTCTGTTGTGCCTCCATGCCTCAGACCTTTGGTGAGATTTTGATGGAGTGTTAAGATTTAGTCCTTAGGAAGAGAGCTGCTGTCCTTCCAGGCTTCATGGCGCTTTGGTGCTGCTGTATGGTGAAAGGCAGCTGACCAGCGCAGTGTACAAACGCTTCATGCCTTCAGACAGGTGCCCTCCTTACCACGTTGGGATATCACGTCCTCTTTTCATCCTCAGCCCCCAGCCAACGGTTGCTTAGTGAGTTCGGACACTTTTCTCTAATGAACGGGTCGGTGTTGAAGGTGCAGGTCGTGCTGGCCACCAGGTCGTGCTGTGTCTGGCAGATTGCTTCCAAATGCGTGGAAAAATGAAAAACCAGAACAAACTAACCCTCTTTCAGGCTGCTAAATACCAAGCATGAGAATTAGTAGAAGTGAAACTTTTAATCTCACTTTACATGTAAAGGTGTTTTTCAAACTGGGTGTCAGAAAACTCAGCAAAAAAGCCACACCCAAGTGTACAGATACTCCATTTAATGCTTGGTTTCAGTACAGCTAGTTTGGCAATCTAAAGCAAAATCATCAAGAATCAGTAAAAATCTAAGAAGCAGAACTGTGTCATGGCTGGAGGCAAGAAGCCACGATTACATCCCAGTGGCAATGGCAAAGCATCTGTTCTTGCGTTCAACCCACAGACCGTTCCAGGAGTAGTCCATGATGGAATATCACAGCAGCTGCTGCTCACACTTGAACCAAGTTACCAGAGCTGCAGTCAGTTTCCTCTTAATCTAAAATATCAGTCAAAAAGCAGCCAGAGAGGCTGATAACCAGTTCCGACTTTTCTTCTATTTTGCTCATGTCAAATAGTACTACTGGTCTAAGGAACAATCTCATTGTATGATGTCCCTGTGTACCCATTTCACAGTGTTCAGCAACTACCAGGTGAAGCCTCAAAACAGTTTTTAGTGACAAAGTGTTCTGGGATTTTTGCTGCCACAGGTACCACAAGTACCACAGCTAGGAGAGACTAACAGCTCCTGGAAATCAATGACATTCACGTGCTTTATTTTTCATAAGCACACGTTTTAATGCCTTATATGTGTTACAGAAAATTTACAGTGTATGTAAAGGTAGAAATCGAGTTTCTGTATCTAAATAGGGACATTTACAGATAAACATACGTATTCAGTAGCTTGCATTGCAGACTTTTATAGTGCAGTTCTTCAGCTGAAGGATTATGATTACACATGCCAGCAGATAGGATTGCGAGGCAGAACGCAGGAGCCACAACTTTATAAAGCAAAGACCTTTCAAAGGCCTCAAGCTCTCCCCTGCGCATGACCAAAGGTTTCTTCTTGTCGTGGCGCTGGTGGCTGCCACGCCACGTCCCACCACGGGCAAGAGGAGACAGGTTTTTGTGAGGCGTGCGGTCAGGCAAACAACTTGCCTTGAAATGGCTGCAACAGCGTAAGGTGAAGGGCACGGCTGAAGGCAGAGCTTTGCCCTGCGTGTCTTGCTCCCAGGGCAGAGCTGGTACAAGGCTTTCTTTTCTTCTGCTGTTGTCCGGAATCAACAACAGTTATCATTTAATCTTTTTCCTTCCCAAACTTTCCTGAGCCCATGCTCGGGGCTCTACAGCAAGAGGAGTCTGCTTAGGATGAAGTGAATTACTTGGACTCCGTAAAGACTGATCTGAATGTTTCCCTTTCCTTCAGTTTATTGCGTCAGTAAACTTTGATCCATTTTTTACTTCTTCATTTCCTTGCTCCGTCCAGAGTTTGAATGGTGTGAACGCTGTGAAGGAAACCATTCACTATTTCTTGCTTGAAATATGCAGTGAGGCGCACACATCATGAGGAACCTGCATTTCACCAGAAGTTCCAGTGAGCTGTGCAAAGCCTCCTCCCTGGCAACCTGACATAAATCAAGAAAGGCCTTGTGTGTGGCATATTTATCAGAAACGAATATCCAAAGCCTTCACAAATATCTCTTTTTCTCTCCCTCATTACTGCTGTTTTTAAGCGGCTGTCAGGATTTGCTGCAGATGGGAAAATAGCTTTTCTTCACCCCCTCACCCTCTGTCGCCAAATATGTAATTATCAGAAGAAGCAGTTCCTGCAAAATGTGTTTTCCAGTAAAAGCACACACTTTTTGAGCTGTTGTTACAGTTTCATTTGATAAAAACAGTAAAGCATGCATAATTTCAAATGAGGAAATGTCCTGCTGACCACAATAACGTATACGTTTGCTGGCTGAAATTGTAACATCATTTGAGATAGACACACAAAGAAAATTCCATGTAGTTCAGGTATTGCAATAGCATATCCACTTTCCAGGGAGGTACGGGAAGGCATAAGCAATCCCTCAGTCACCAGCTAGCTTAGCTGGTAAAAAGCACGCGTCCTCACACTGAACAAATAGACTACGTGGTGCCTGCAGTAGGAAGGAGCTGGACTTGGTGACGCAGGAGATGCGCTCTAATCTGTGTCACAGGCTTCGAAAGAGAAACACAGCAGCGTTAATCCCTTTTGCACAATTTTTTTCTTGGCGGAAAATGCTAGTAATTGCCTTTGAAGTGTCAGGGTAGCACACATTATGCTGAAAGACTTCAGCTGCTTCGCTCTGCCTGTGCATGACTGCCAGCACAGGGAGCTGAGGGGCAGCAGATGGGGATAGTGACATTTCTAATGTGAAGAGATGGGGAGGGAGGGAGGGAAAGGAGGGAAGGAAGGGCAGCTTGTCTCTGCAGAGCTCAGGGGAGAGAGGACAGGAGAAAGGGAATCTGGAAACTCTCCTTGCTGGGGTTAGAAATGACTGTACTTTGGAAGTCCCAGAAAATAGTCACTGTGCACGTGTACTTGTCTTGTTGTTCACTTTGACCCTAAATTAATTTGACCCTGTTTTAGAATGACTTGGCTTTATTTCACATCTGAATATGAGCTGAACAGACTAGTAGCAACCTTTTGCAATCATATATCACACCGAAGCAATCTGCCCCATGTCAGTGGGCATTGTGTGCAGTGGAATTTTCGTTACGTCTTATAAGCATTAAAGATGCTTTAACAGAGTAGCTATAACACAGAACAACAAACATCGTCAATGAAAGTTTCACATATGACTGTTGGAAAACCAGGCTGACAGCAGCAATATGCCTTTCTGATTCCCCGGGCTACCTTTCAGTGACTCTGACTGCTAGACTCACAGTTTTCCTACCCTGTAAAAGTTTTGGTGATTTTAGTATTCTAATTATAGAGGAAAGGGGTTCCTAAAAAGATCTAAAGTAATTGCTTATCTAGGACAGTCCAAAATATTAAAACAAAGAAAAATTATTCTCAGATGAGTAACAAGGAAAAAAAAGAAGTGGTTGTATGAAATAAATATTTATGGTAACTTCAGAATGTTGTGTACTTACTTTGCCCAAAGATTTTAAAAATTGTAGGATTCAACTCACTTAAATTTGAGATGCTTCAGCAAATAAGAAATAGTTTTCTACTTTTTCTTTTTGACACACTGGCATTATTTAAGGAAAGACCATCATGCCACAAAATCATTGTGATTCTGCTGATAAGCCAGGAGTCAAGCTGAGATGGTCATACTCATATTAGTATCTACTTGACAATCTGAGTTGTCCTGTAGGGTACAGATACACAGACCAGTTTTAAATTATTTTACTTGCTTTCTTCTGGAATTGATATGTAAAGGGAAAAATTAAGACTTTACAAACAATACAACAGGAAACAAGATGTTGGAGGAAGCAGATGAAACCATGTATTTTAACTTTGTAAATTTCTCTTAGTACTTTTGATCTTATAAAAAGCAAATGCTATATCAAATAGAACAAATAAAAAGACCTATACACCTCCTCCTTATGCACCTTTAGGAATGCATAACTGGGGTAGTCAAAATTTAGAATAGAATAAAATAGAATAGAATAGAATAGAATAGAATAGAATAGAATAGAATAGAATAGAATAATAGTTCAGTTGGAAGAGACCTGCAACGATCATCTAGTCCAACTGCCTGACCACTTCAGGGCTGACCGAAAGTTCAAGCATATTTTAGTGATGTCCTGGACCTGACTGGCAAACTTCTGATAAGCCCTACTAGAAGTGTTGAGTCGTCTCCAAATCTCACTGAAGCTGAGAGCTGGATATACTCAA